GGATATTTTTTCTGGCCTAATGTTAATGTAATGTTATATTGGTTAATCCGGTTAACCAACTAACCAAATCAATTAAAATTAGTTTGAATAATTTGGTTGTTGTATTAGTTTGGTCGGTTGGTTTTGATATTTTGTCCTTTGGTTAATAGAATTTATGTTTGATTGATTTGGTAAATACCATGATAACCATTTGAACATCGCTAATTACCATATTCTTTTATTTTCTTTTGTATTTTAATAAAGTGAAACTTTAATGATTAAATTTTTTCAAATTTTAACAATCATTTCCATCCAAGTAGAATTTTAACCATATCTCATTTCAAAAGGGAAATAAATCGACTACTGATTATGCTAGGGAATAGGGATGGATAATTGTATATATAGTGGGTGCTAGTAAGTTTATTTAGGATTCCTGTAGGGCATGGGTCAAGCCCACAACACCCACTTAATCTATAAATTTGCAATTAAAGAAAAAATCAGCGGAGATATATATGGAATTACCAAGCAACCCTCCCTAGCTATGCGGAGAGGCCTGCAAATATTGAATTAAGGAGGTTCCAGCATAGAACCTCTATATATTATTGGTAGGAGGACTTGGAAAACTATAAGCCTCGTGAAGTTGGAAAGGAAATAAAGGTATTCCTAATGAGCGAAAAAATAAAAATAAAATAAAGGTATTGGAAGACATGAGAGCGGATTGGTGAAAAGAATTATAAAACGACAACCTACTATGGTGTTTAATCTTAGATCTCCATTTAACTAATCTGATATCATCCATTTTTTAATAGTGAAGGAAGGTGGAGTGAAACCATGCAAGAATCTCAATCCCATACCCATTCACTACAAGAAAAATCGTCTATAGAAACAAAGGAAATTTGTCTCTACAATACACTTATTTGATTATATATCTCTTTAGATACAAATTATGCATTTGTATCAAGTAGTGCTGTTGCTATAGCCCTATAGAGACTGATATAGATGCAGATAGCATATGTAGCTGAGTAGAGATATTGCTACAATTATTTTAGTCTCTATTATCTCTTTTAGATTACTGTTATTCTGTCTTTGTATATCGTTTTAAAGACACAAATATTTGTCTCTAAAATGACTATTGGAGATAAATATTTTTGTTTCTATAATTGGCTTTTGGAAACATTTATATCTGTCGTAAACTACATTTTGTAAGACAAAATTATCTGCTTCTAATGTTACTTTTGGAGACAAAAAAATTTGATTATGAAATGAATCTTTTGAGACTAACGTATGCGCTTAAATAACCCTTGGGTGACATATTCTTTTGTCTCTAATACTGTTTATATGTGTAAATAAATTGTTTGAGAGATGAACCCTTGGGTGACATATTCTTTTGTCTCTAATACTGTTTATATGTGTAAATAAATTGTTTGAGAGATGAGTCTCGTGTGAGCATTACATGTATTTCTAATAATATTTTATATATCATAGTATTAGTCTCTAATAGAGACATATAAAGAACTACATTTATATAAAGAACTTTTAGAAACATATAATTATCTTTATAGAGACAATTAGTATATCAGTCATATAAACTACATTTTAAGAGACAAATATAATATATGTCTCAATATTTAGTCACTATAGCTCATTTTTCTTGTAGTGATTATAAGCCACGTAGCAATTCCTTGCTCTACAAATGGACAGATAGTCATTGACACTTGGCCTCATAACTTCCATTCCCTTGCATGTTTCCTCTGATACTCAGGTCAGGTGAGAAGGAAAGGTGGAAGATATATAATAACATAATAATGGATCCCATTGTCAATCGAGATGCAATTCATAACTTCCAATCCCTTGCATGTCGCCTCTCTGGCAATTCAATAACTGCTTGCATAGTCGCCAAACGGATCATCTGGTTGCGTTGGTCAATGAATTGGGGTTGAGACAGAGAGTGAAGAGATTGCATGAAGAATCTGAATTGGGGTATGCTTCTCATATATCCTCGGGGGAATCGAAGATGGAAGTAAAAGACTACTTGCATAACCGCCAACGGTCATGGGAGAGAAAGGTCGGAAAAATCTCGGGATATATACTAACGGAAGGCGTATAGGAGATGGGGATGCAAACACAATGCACCCCTTCTCTTACAGGAAAGCTTTTTTCTTTGATTGAAAAATCAGCAAGAGGTAAGGTGAAAACAGGAGACGAAAGGATGGGTGAAACTCGACACCGGTGGAAATTCGGGCAACCGTAAAGGGTCTGTGAGTAGTCGCTCACGCTAGCTAGAATGGGCCTAGCCCAGAATTCTCTCAATAAATTCACATATAGATTTACCAAAACCTCCCTCCGTCAATTGCGCAGAGAGCTGGAAAAGGGGAATTAAGGGGGTTCCGGCCCGGAACCTCCTTATAGTATTGTTAGGAATAGTGACTGATAAAAATAGTAACTCAGATCCCAAAGCCTAAACAAAAAATCAATCCCCATCTGTTCATCTCGGCTGCCAATCTCCCATTTTCTTTTTTCTCTCTATCCCTGCTCGATCTCTTCATTCTCCCATGGCGACTAAAACCTCCTCCCCTGCCACCTCTGCGCACAACTTCAGAATCTGTTCCCCATTCTAGTACGCTCTCTGTTTCTCTTCCCTCCTCACCCCAAATTTCTATCAAACTTACTCCCACCAACTTTCTCTTGTGGAAGATTCAACTATTGCCTCTTCTTCATAGCTTTGATCTAGATCAATTCATCGATGGCTCGTCTCCAGTCCCACTTGACATCTTGACTCGTCTAGCTGCTGCTTATGGGGTTGCGAATCTCCATGCTCTCTGCAACCTCAAAGATAGATTCGACGCCCTCACTTGCTCTTCAGAATCCATCGACAACTACCTTGCTCGTACCAAAGACATTGTTGGATCGCCTAGCTGCCTTCAATTACCCTGTGTCTGACGATGATCTCGTTGCTTGCTACCTCAAAAGTCTCGGCGAATCTTTTCTTCCGTCCGTGTGTGTCCTTGAAGCTTGACCCGAGCCCTTTTCCTTCGACGAGTTCCATGGTCTCCTCCTCAACAAAGGAGGTCGTCTCCATCAACAAAACCTTCTCGCCGGTGACTTCTCTCCTTCATCTAACTAAAGTCGCTCGGGTTCTCATGGCAGTGGCGGACGTGGGCGGTCCACTTCTCGTGGCGGCGAACGGCAAATGGACGGCTGACTCTATTCTCCTCACCAACCGGGCCTCCCTTTCCAACAAGCAGTAGCTCGCACCACTTACCAGCATCGCCTTCTTGGGCCAATGCTCATTTCTAATCTCTTTTTCTCTTTTGCAGGTTCCATCCCAATGTAGTGTTACACATGCCATGGGTTTAGTCACATAGCCCAACAATGTTCCACCCCAGCTCACCCATATCGTCACCAGCCCTCAGCTCACCTTGAAAACACCCCGACCTCTCAAGAGTGGGTCCTAGATTCTAGTTCCAATTATCATCTCACGTCCGACCTCAACAATCTCACCCTTCATCCCGAATACAACGGTCTTGATGAAGTCTTATTTGTAGGTCTTAAGTCCTGGGAATACTGGATGAGACACTAGATGAATATTTTCTTCCTTCCGAAGAATGTTATTAATGAGTTTGAGAGGATTTGCAATCAATTCCCACTCAGATACTAGTTTGAGGACTAGGGTTCTTGTTTCTTGGCATCTTATAGCTCGTCCTAAGAAGGAGGGAGTACTAGGCATTCATAATTTTGTTTTCTGGAATAAGCTGTGTGTTATTATACATGCATGGAATGTCCTAATTTCCGGTGGTTGTCTCTGGGTTACGTGGATTACGAGATATCGGCTCAAACAAACGTCATTTGGAGGCGTTTGTTAAAGTATCACAGTGTGATTCAGCCCCATATAACTAGACAGGGAGCCTCTCAACTTTGGGATGGGGAAACAATGTCTCGTTATTTATACTTTGGTTGGCTGTGATGGAAAGATTGAGAACCCAAGACAAGCTTCTTGCTTGGGGAAATCAGCAACGTGATTCTGTGTTTTATGTCCGGGGGTGTGGAGACTTGTTTCCACCTTTTCTATGCTTGCCTCAGTTGTACGTCTTAAGTCGCGGGAAGAAGTGGTTAAATGGTGTTCCTTATGTATATGCTTTTCTGACTGATAGTTTGTATTGTTGAGAAGCGCTCAAAGGGTTTCTTTACTTTGAGTAGGTTAAGCTTAATGCAATTTTTTATTAACCATAAAAAAATGATGTGGCAGACATGTGGCATAAAGTGCCGAGTTACGTTGGAGCTTACGTGGGAGTTGATGAGGCAGCCACATCAGCGTCTCGTTGATGTTATTGATATTGTCTCTAACATCGTTAAAGTTTGTAATGAAAATGGCTAGATTTGTCATACAACCATTAAAATTTTTGGTTATTTTGTATATTTCTAAACAATTGACTATTATTGTCACAAACGATAAAATTGTGACTATATAAGTATATATTGCCATCGTTTTACACCTTCTTGGTGTGGGGTCCTGTGTATAGAAGATAGCAGAGATTGGGCCGCTGCTTGTGGAATGTTGGAATATCACAATAATAGGACCGTCTAGTGAGGAATTGGCTGGACAAGTAGGATTACGGTAATACATGGATCGGGTGGGCCATTTTGAGCCCTCATAGCCACCCAAATCCATTGGTCACTGCCGCACGAGTAAATTTATAGATGACCCAAACCTTATCATTAAACACTGGAAACCCTATATGGGTTCAGGTAGGAAAGGGGTCGGCTTAGATTGGTTCAACCCGTAAATTTTAATGTAATGAACTTTCCTTAATTTTTTTTTTTGCGAGATACTTATAAACATCATAGTTTTTCCGTGTATATCTTTATTAATATCTTCTATTTTATTCCAACATATTGTACTAATTCCATCAAGTTGATTAGCTTTCGTGCTCAATATTCAAACCAACATCATTTTGCTTGTCTACAGATAGATAGTTACGTACTACTACCGCTTGTACTTAAAAGCAGTAATTGTTAATCAACTATGCTTCATTCTTGAAAGGGTGGTACGTTTTGAGAGACTGGATCAGACCTTCCACTGATCCCGCAGCGGCGACGAGTGAAACTAGCAAACAGATGAAGCTCAACGCCTGCAGGCACATCGAGGAGACGGAGAACTTTGGAAACTTCGCTCGAGCGATGTACATCTCGACCGGAAGGTAGACGGTCAGAGGCCAAAAGGAGGCTGCCCCGATAAGGCTGAGAATGACATTGAAGAACGGGAGGAGCATGGCCAAGACTGTCGTCACTGCCACGTACGCAGACCTCCAAGTCAATCTGAACCAATTGACGTGGAAGCTCGTGCCACCTAGGAATGGAATGGTGATCTGGTGGTCCGTCGTCACGAACTTGACCTCTGGCCACCTCTGACGACAGCTCGTCTCCACGAAGCTAAAAATCGGTTGCGCAAACACCTGCACCCCCGCATATATATTATTAATTAAACGAATATCTTTATATAAGGCAATTAATGAGGAATTTAATTAATTAAATTGAATTTACTTGGTAGGCGCCGATGAGGTGGATAGCCACGCAGACGTTGGCCACGTTGAGCAGCCACAACGGTTGGTAGAATCCGGAGCCGGAGAGTAAGTCGCCAGGCGCGTGTTCTCCAAACGCCGCGTAGCCGACACAGCCGCAGAGGAGGTAGAAAATTGTTGTAGTTGATATGCCCTCAAAACTCGCCCGTTTCATTGTTTTATTCTCCGCGGGGCTCGATTTCAGGGTGTCTTGCGTCCATCCGTGCATGTCTCAATCAATACTAAACAACGGGCTCTTTAATAATTAATCAATCCTTTAATCTATCTTGAAGGCTAATTAACCCTTTACTAATTTTACCGTGAGAAGGGATAATATAAAATGACTACTTGCCTGAATCTCAATGAGGACAGTGGAGTAGGTGTAGGCAAAAGCAATGTCGCCAATTGCTTGGAAAATTCTCCACAACCTCTGCGCCTCTGACACTGTCGTCGACGTCCCACTTGCCTCGCCTCCTTCATTCATTCAAATTAGTTCATTAATTAGTATATAGTACATTAATGTAATATGATTTAAACTTCACATACACTTAATGACGCAATATATTATTATGAAAATCTTTTTCTTTATTTTCAAATTAATTAAACTACATTTTCCGGTCACATTATCTCTAACCTGCAGCTACTTTGACTATGGAGAGACCCAATCCATTAAAGGAATAGGTGATTGACATGATGGCCGCGAGGATGGAGAGAGAGCCACGACAGCTTGTGAAAGTTTGGGACCTGGCAAAGTATCAGCTGGATGCAGCCAAAGACTATCATGTAGATCGTCGTGGACACTTGGTAGTTGTCCTCCACGTGGTAACACTTGGTTCTCCGAACCGAGCTGCAGATGGTTTTAAACAAATTATATCAGTTTAAGTAAAGAAATGAACATTTGCATAAGTAAAAAGAGATGGGGCCGGGTTGCATTTGCATGTGGTTAATTGGGTAGCTTACGCCATGCTGATAGACGTTGTGATCGTGTAACCGACAGTGACCCCAACAAGGTTCGCATACTGAGCCACACCGCAAAACTTGACCTTGAACCCACCTAAATGGGTCCGGACCGGCCACCCAACCCAGCTGGGCGATAGCCCAAGCCAGGGGTAGAACGCCTGATCCAATTACTGCTGTAATGATGTGGGCGCTCGCCGTCACCCAAGTCCCTGCATTATTGCATACACAAATGAATAAATAAATAATGTTCATTAGTAGGGACAAAAATTAATTGAGCAATTATATTAAGCTAGCACTGATTAATTAACTTTAGCCAAAATCGATGGCTCAGAAACTAGCTATTTATGATCATTGAATTTGCCTATAGTCACTTTTTTTTAAACTAGCGGTATCAACCGACACTACAATTTACCGACGGTTTTCATTAACCGCGCGCCACGAAATAATTTAGGGGTCGTTTGGATGAGACTTTCTGACGAGGCAATTTAACTCAATTTCTTCATAATGAGGCAATTGGGTCAAATTGCCCCGTTTGGTTGGAAAAAATTGGAACGGAACAATTTGGATCGAGAAAATCACAATTGCTCCATTATGGGTCAATTGAAAATACCTGGGGTGGGGGTAGGTTATCTTAATTGACGCGTTTTTTACCCCTTTCTTCCACATCTAACCCTCTCTTTTTCCTCTCTCTCTCTCACACAGTCACACATAGACAAACTATCTTCTCTTTCCTTTCACTTTCTCTGCAACAACAAACTGTCCTTTCTTTTTCTCTTTCGTTTCTTTCTCTCTTTGGTGGAAGATTTGCTCCTCTTCTCTTTCTTGCCTCTCTATGGCGGTCGATCCGCCGATCTTCGATGGTGGACAAATGGAAGAAGAAAAGTTTAAGTCGGTCGCCGACGGGAGGAATGAGAAGCTCTTTGGAGGAGGTAATTAACTCTTGCAGGCAATCTGCAGTGGTGAAGAAGAAGAAAGTTTCATTGTTCCATTCTCTCATCTTTCTTTTCTTTTTCTTTGTAAGATTTTCCATGGTCTATCTGGATTCTTCCTATTTCGCATAGGTTTTTCAATTCAGTCAAGCTTCAATTCATATTTTGGATGCTCTATTGTAAGTGGGTTTTATTTAATTCCGGGAAAAATTGGATTGCTTGATTTGGGTCGCGTTCTCCTTGGATTGGGAATTTTTCCATTGCTCTGTTTCTCAAGACGACGGTCTGTGAGCGATCTGGAACCATTTAATTTTGTTTCTCAAGAGGCCACAACATCAACCATTCGATTTTACCTTGGCTTAGGGTTGGTTTTCGTTGCTCTGTTTCTCAAAGGGCAGTCTGAGTGGATGATCCTTTATTGTACAACGTATGTTCATTTTCGTTAAAATAAAAGTCTGAAAACAATCAAGAATCTCTATTTCCCTGGCTTGTTATGGAGGTTGTGTATCGTTGTTTTTTTGCCTCACACAAAAAGAAATTGTGATAAAAGAGGAAGAAGGAGGAGGGTAAGAAAACAAGGGCAAAAGTGTATTTTCATTAAATGTCTCATCCCAATTGCCTCATCTCAAATGCCAAGCCAAACAAGACAATTTGTGACAAATGCATCATACAATTGTTTCATTTTGTAAAATGAGACATTTACACCAAATTGCCTCATTTCGGAAATGTTCCATCCAAACGAACCCTTAGTGTCAATTGATGCACCAACTGACCATGGGTAAGAAGTTTACTGTCGGATAGAAACAAACAAGACGCTAAAATGTGAAAAAAACGAACGCTAGATTCCAGTTTTGTTGCAGCGTAGCTAGGTGGGTTAATTACCAGTTCGCATTGGGCGGCCGTCATCGTCGACTCTGGTCGCCATAAAGCTTCAGATCTGCAACGAACAGTCACTACAAGCAAATGGGCCTAGCACAGGGGTTTTTTCTTGCGGTTCGTCTAACCGCTTCCGGGCTTTTGTTATGGGTACTTTTGGCAGCCAATCGATCAGCGGTTATTAGACCCGCTGAGAATTCTAACCTTTTAATCGGGGTTTTGATTTTTTCGTTAAAAAATAACACAATTTTGTACGAGGGAAAAAAAACAAATTATTGCCGGGTGGAAACTTGTATCGCGAGGTTCTCTGTTCTTCAATGGAACGATTTCCTTTTGCCAAACCCTAAAATCACCACAGCCGAGACCCCCAACTCCCGCAAAATCCCGCAGAAGTTATTCTGCTAACAGGCCAAACCGTTAGCAGATACTAACAGGGCAGGATGAAGGGCCACGTCGGCCCATGTTTGATCCAACGGAGGAGCTCTCGGCTGGGAGGTGGCTCACTTAAGTGAGCTGAAGGTGGGCCAACAAGCAAAATCCGGCCAAAATCCGGCCCAGCGTGCGGCGGGCAGCGGAGCTGAGCAAGTGGCGTGGTGGGCCCGGCTTGATTTTGGGCGGGAGAATGGAGAGGAGTGGAAAGAGAGCCAAATTTTATGGGCCCATGTTAGTATTATGTATGTGTTGTTTGTGTGGATATTTATTTGTTCTCAGTTGATATTAATTTATGTTATGTTGATATTGCTTTGTATCATTGTTGAAATTTTGGGCCGTATTATTCCTTTGCAAAACAATATCCTACACACTATCAAGTCCTAACATGTAAGGCTTGCAACCTTAGTTAGGGCTGCCCGCCGAGGGCCCATGGGCCGAAGGCCCATTAAATAATATTAGTTTTTATTGACGAGCGGTTTATTTTTTAGGGTTGATTGTTTAGGTTTGGTTTATGGTTTACGGTTTACGGTATAGATGTTAGGGTTAAGGTTTCAACATAAGGGTTTGGGTTCTCTTTAGGGTTTAGGGTTTTGTCTGGTCAGTATGAATATCTATTATTTCCTAATTATATTGTTTTTAGAGTTTATTTAGTAGTGTTGATTGTTTAGGGTTTAGGGTTCAGTGTTTAGGGTTTAGAGTTTAGGGTGATAGAGTTTATTTGAACCCGAGGAAACATTCCCTTAGTTCATGTGTTTGGATATTTTTGTGGAACCTTTGAATATTCTCAGCTTGGGAAAACAATAATAGTTTTATTTTTTTAGTGTTTAGTGATTAGGGTGATAGAGTTTAAACTTTAGGGTTTAGGGTTAGGGTACAAATAATAGATATTAGTTTGTGTGTTGTGGATACTTGTCTTTCCTAGTTGTAATACTTTTTTCTGACATTCTGATATTTGTTCAAAATATTATGATTTTGTTCCGGGTTGTGTGGGTATTTATTTGAACCCGAGGAAATATTCCTTTAGTTCATGTGTTTGGATATTTTTCTGGAACCTTTGAATATTATCAGCTTGGGAAAACAATAATAGTTTTATTTTTTTATAGTTTAGTGATTAGGGTGATAGAGTTTAGGGTTTAGGGTACAAATAGTAGATATTAGTTTGTGTGTTGTGGATACTTGTCTTTCCTAGTTGTAATACTTGTTTGTGACATACTGATATTTATTCCAAATATTATGATTTGTTTCCGGGCTGTGCAGATATTTATTTGAACCTGAGGAAACATTCCCTTAGTTCATGTGTTTGGATATTTTTGTGGAACCTTTGAATATTCTCAGCTTGGGAAAACAATAATAGTTTTATTTTTTTAGTGTTTAGTGATTAGGGTGATAGAGTTTAAACTTTAGGGTTTAGGGTTAGGGTACAAATAATAGATATTAGTTTGTGTGTTGTGGATACTTGTCTTTCCTAGTTGTAATACTTTTTTCTGACATTCTGATATTTTTTCAAAATATTATGATTTTGTTCCGGGTTGTGTGGGTATTTATTTGAACCCGAGGAAATATTCCTTTAGTTCATGTGTTTGGATATTTTTCTGGAACCTTTGAATATTATCAGCTTGGGAAAACAATAATAGTTTTATTTTTTTAATAGTTTAGTGATTAGGGTGATAGAGTTTAGGGTTTAGGGTACAAATAGTAGATATTAGTTTGTGTGTTGTGGATACTTGTCTTTCCTAGTTGTAATACTTGTTTGTGACATACTGATATTTATTCCAAATATTATGATTTGTTTCCGGGCTGTGCAGATATTTATTTGAACCTGAGGAAACATTCCCTTAGTTCATGTGTTTGGATATTTTTGTGGAACCTTTGAATATTCTCAGCTTGGAAAAACAATAATAGTTTTATTTTTTTAGTGTTTAGTGATTAGGGTGATAGAGTTTAAACTTTAGGGTTTAGGGTTAGGGTACAAATAGTAGATATTAGTTTGTGTGTTGTGGATACTTGTCTTTCCTAGTTGTAATACTTGTTTCTGACATTATGATATTTATACAAAATATTATGATGTTTTTCCGGGTTGTGTGGATATTTATTTGAACCCGAGGAAATATTCCTTTAGTTCATGTGTTTGGATATTTTTCTGGGTTGTCTGGGTATTTGTCTGAGTTATCTGGATATTTTTCTGGGTTGCTGGATATGTGTTTGGGTTGTCTGGATATTTTTCTGGGTTGTCTGGATATTTGTCTGGGTTGTATGGATACTTGTCTTTCCTAGTCATAATACATGTTTCTCACATACTGATATTTATTCAAAATATTTTGATTTGTTTCCTGGTTGTGTGGATATTTATTTGAACCTGATGAAATATTCCCTTAGTTCATGTGTTTGGATATTTGAATTGAATCTGAGGAAATATTAACTTAGTTCATGTGTTTGGATATTTGTGTGGAACCTTAGAATATTCTCGGATTGGGCACATCTTGATAGTTTTATTG